CAGCAGTGACGCCTGCACAGCTTTTGGCAGAATTCTTGCTCCTCTCAACTTACACGAGGAGGGACGCTACTTGGGGTCTTTGGAAAACATCTGAAGTCAGCTCTGTCAGCAGGGTTACAGTTTTATACAGCTTTGTTTGGCAGATTAAATGAAGTCTTGAAGCCATAAATATAAGGCATTAACAGTTCCTTTATTTTTTATGCAACAATCAGGGCAAAGGTTCCTCTCATACACCAACAGAGAAATGCAATACATTGTAACTATTTCATTTCCATTTCAGCCATGGAAAGTAGTATCTAATTCCAAATTTGGCCCTGTCAAAAATCCACCCAATGATACTACGTATTGTAAAGGAGATGCAGAAAAATCCACAAACTGGAGGGGGGATAAGACCTGAAAAGGTAAAAAGCAGTGTCTGCATGGGGAAAAAACCACAAGAGGTGACATTTTTGTATTGCCTACCATTCTTTCATCTAGTCAGGAGGGGTGACACACACGGACCACATGGAGAAGGTAAAGGTTCCCTTGCTCGAAAGCCAGTCAAATCCGACTCTAGGGTTGCGGTGCTCATCTCCGTTTCAAAGCTGAAGAGCCAGTGCTGTCCAAAGACGTTTCCGTGGTCATGTGGCTGGCATGACTAAACGCCAAGGTGCACAATGCTGTTACCTTCCCACCGAAGTGGTACTTATTTATCTACTTGCAATTTCTTGCTTTCGAACTGCTAGGTTAGGAGCTGGAACTAGAGACAGGAGCTCACTCTGTCATGCGGCACCCGGGTCTCGAACTGCTGAACTACTGACCTTCCACAGCCTACAGTTCAGCATCTTAACCACCTGAGCCACCGCAGCTCCTTACATGGAGAAGCGGAGGACTTAAATAGAAGTGGGGACACAGTGCAGTGGGCTGGAAGAGTGACTGGAAGGAGAGTGGCAGCTGAGGGGGGGGGGAAGAAAAGCCAAGTGGGTGGGAAGGAAGCAAGGAAAGTGGAGGGACTTCTGCCATTCAAGGGTAAGGGGGTGGGAGGGAAGGTGGAGATACTGTGGGGAGAGGGACCAGCATGGGGTAATGAGATTTTCCTCCTTGTGGGGATATAATAAATGTTGACTGCTTGGCCTCCCTCTTGCTGACAGTGGTCATTGCCCAGTCACATACATGACTTATTTCTCTAAGCAGCAGCAGCAGCACTACTCCTCATTCAACTGGCCAAGGAAGGGGGTAAGGCTTGGAGGAGGATGAGAGAGCAAGGAGGGGGGCACAGCAAGACTACACCAGCAAGTATTGCTAAGTGCCACGACATCTATATATCTTTCCTGATATATAATACAGATGCTGAAAACTCGGTTGCTATGGTCTGTAGAAACAGTATTTGTCCAGAGACTTAATATTCTTCTCTGCCAGATTTTACAGAGGATTTATATACCAAGCTAAGACATATTGATTCAGGAATGTATGTTTTATAGACAAAGATAAACACTCTTGGAAACAGAGGAGCTCTGGAGATAAAAGAAGTGGTGAGTAATCCTTTGCCCCAGGGTGTGCTAAATCTCACCACATTACTAAAGCAAACACACACGCCCAGCTTGTTTTCCATATCAAAGAAGGGCTTCGCATGAATACCTACACTATCAAAACATGCACTAACTCCAGGAAAAAAAGTGGGGGAGTAGTATCTAGTCTGAATGGTCTAATGATTATAGAAGAAGGTGATTGGCAAAGAGTAGAACATGCTGTTACCATCCAGTGTTACTATACATTTAAAGAGACATGCCTGGTGATATGCAGTGTAGTCCGAGCCTGTAAAACTGTTTCAAACATTCTGTTAATACAACCCTGACACAGCAGCTTTGCTGTGCTCTGAACGTTTTCAGCAAGCTTTTTCTCACGAAGGTCGGCAGAGTAACAGCTTTGTTGAACTGCTTGAAATGGAGGTTGACATCTCCAGTTACTGATATACTCAATCCTATACCTTAATGCAGTATTTAATTCTATGTAGTTTAAGGACTAAATAAAGAATTGCAGAATTAAACCATCAATTCTGTGCGGTACAACCTCCATTTTAGCTGTGATACTTTTAATTTTGATCATTTAGATTAATGGCAGCATTGCTTATTTTATGTGTTTACAGATAATATATGTGTTCACAGAGAGGGAAATAAGGATTCCCCCAAGTGTTTCTTTGGCTTTCCCTCCTTGGTGAAAACTCTGGTCATGTTGTACAGTGTCAGTTGCTAGGCTGGCCCCAGTTGCATAGTGGAGAACCTGCAAAGATTGCGGGGGGGGGGGGTCACTCTCTTCCCTATACTCCCCT